TTATACCTTAAAACGAAAGCTTCAAAATACTTTGATGGTGTACTGGACTAAATGACATCTTTTATTAATCTCGTTCCCTCTAAGCTTTAATGTGACCTCTTCTATTTCTTCTCTTTAAATGCTCAGCCACTGGACAGCTGTAGATCACGAGGTAATTGGTGGGTTGTAACTTGATGTCTGGCTCCTCTGGTCTGTATAGTAAAGTGTTCTTGATACTAAAGCCAGTGAAGTGTATGTTTGCACACTGTTTTACCCAAAGTATTTGCTTTGGTTGGGTGAGTGAATACTTTGGCAGAATTGATTTAAATAGTGTTCTGTAGCAGTCTGTGGTTATCAGAAGTCTTTGATGTTTTCACGTGTGACCCCAGGCTACGTCTATAGAGTTCAGATGTGGCTGATATAGTAACAGTTTGTCTCTTTTGAATTTGTAATGTTTTCATAGTTTTGTGAAAATATTTATAGCGCTCATTGCTGTGTAACAGACCGTTTTTGGAGAGTATTTTGTTTGACGGGTTAATATTGAGGCGCAATTTTTATTTATTTATTTTAAATTCTGATTGGCTAATTGGATGACAACAGCAGTGTTATCACTTTGGGGCAAATACACACTTTCCATTTACTCAAACAGCACAAAAGGTGTGTACACCTGATAGATGGGGCGTTCTGAAGCTTGATTATCTGTGACTTGTTCCACTGAAAAGACATCAGGTCGGTCTGAAGGTCCTTCTCAATGTGGGTCAGAGAGATGAAGAAAGACTCTAAATAACTGAAAAACAAAAGGGTCAGGGTTATGTTCATATATCTTCATATATCTATCCTTCATAGTCTGACATCCTGTGAGACTTTCATGTCTTGGATCTGTTACGGCTCACACAGATACATTTCAGGGTTTGACAGTCCTGTTTGTCTTTTCCTCTGAAGGTGATGCACGTTGCCAAATTGTCTTAGTTAAACCAACGGTTACTGTTGTTTCAAAACCATAATTACTCTGTGACCTAAACCATCTATTTCTTACTGTAGTTGGAATGATAAAAGCCCTGTAAACAGTTGTTTTTATGCTCCAACTAAACTCCTACTGTACTCTCTTATGTGCAGTAAGAGTTTAGTTGCATGACACTTGATGTCTTTTAAACGTGCTATACAATTAAAGCTTGACTGTTACTTTCATTTTTAAATACATTTTTGGTTCAGCAGTCTTTATAGTTTATCTTCTGCTGCCAGCATAAACCAAACTACCCAAATTCATTTTGCAGCATAATAACAAGCCCAAACATCGAACCACAGTCACAGAGAACCAGATGAAATGGCCCCAGAATTTAAATCACTGATGTGAACAGAGCAAGGACACAAGGAGGGAGGGTTCAAGGTAACAGCCATTTAACCAAGTAAGCAATCTTTTCCTTCAAGCATTATTTTGAAGTGATGTCAGCTGCAGATGACGTTGGACACAAACTGAATAAGTTTTCTTCATATTTTTTGACATATAGTATCTCTAGTACTATATTATCAGTATCTCAGATGTTACAGTATTCATGGATGTTCCATCTTCCACAAGTTAATAAACCAAATACATCCCAGACAGTTTCCCAGTCTACTGCAGTAACTGTACTGTAATTTAATTGGAGATGGTTTACTCTGGTCAAATGGACCCCTGGTCCACCACCTTTGGAGCAGTGGGACACTTTTTAAAAGTCCACCCAAAACAAGAAAATGTGCTAAACAAAAAAAGGACACGAATAAGAAATGCATCATCTCAGCCTGACAACTAGACACTGCAGAAATGAATGAAACATTGGTGTAACCTGGAGTATCCAAGCTGCGTGCAGGCAGCTCTGCCCAGCCTGTTGTTCCAATCTTCTGAGCAGACTGTCCTCCATTTCCCCTGCATCTGAACCTGCAGGACTGAACTTCTGCCACTCAGACGCACTGAGAGACAGACACATGCGACACAGGCAGGAAATTACAAGAAGGAAGACGGTACACTATCCTGTTTTCTAAAACATAGAACTGCTGTTCTGGCATCTTCAGTTAATGCCAACTGAGCACATCTGAGCTCAGGAGCTAAGCAGAGCCAGGCCTGGTTGTATGGGATCCTGTGTGTTTGTCCTGCAGGCTGGCATTGCTGTGAGCTGACCACACGGAGAAACTCACACAGTAATATGAAAACAGTGTCATCCCACAGCCTGTTTACACCCTCAACACATCCTTTTTTTCTTCTCATGCTTGTGGTGCTGCAGATGTCACTAAAGGTGTGGCCACTTCATTTCAAACTGTTAAAAAAATCCCAGCAGAAGCACAAATATTTCTGCACAGTTTACACAAAATGTGTCTTCTAGCTAAACGTACAGTTGCTGTATTTCCATATGTGGAAATATTAAAAAACGAAACAACACTTCCAGTCTATACGGTGTGTGTGTGTGTGTGTGTCTCACCACAGCCAAGCTCGTCTTCCCCATTTATGCAGTGAAGTTTTCCGTCACACAGGTAAATGTTGTTGATGCACTGAGACGAGGAGCCACACTGAAACCTCCCCGAACACCTCAGGCCCACTGTAGGCACAGATGAAACTGTAGGTAAGGAAGGTTCTAGAAGTACTGAATGATCTTGTTCAGTGTTTGGTAATACTGCAGACACAAAGAGAAAAGATGGGCAACCTGCATTCTTTCCTGTGGGCACCAGGCAGGAACACCTCTGCTGCTCTGTAATAAGGTATTTTGTTGCTTGTGTGGTGTAAATGTTATTTTTGTTTCCGTATTTTTTGTATTTATTGATTATTTACTGAACATTTTAATAATTTGTGTGAGTCTGTCTGAGTTGCCATGTTAAGTTTTGTGAATTAGAGCTTTGATAAATAAAAATAATGATCCACTAAATTCTGCCTCTGTCATTCTTGATCATTCTTCACACAGTCCTATTAAGGTTGTGACCACCAACCACGTGACATATTGAACGTGCAACAATCCTGACACTTCAGTGGCTCCATTTTTGCAAAATGTAGAGAGTTACCACAGCACTGAGCTCCTTACATCCAAGGCCAACGCTGAGCAGGACAACCACCCCGAGGATGCAGCAAACAGCGAATATCAGAACGGCAAAGCGATGGGCTAAGATTCTGCTCTTCCAGCTTTTATCCATGTCATCTTCTGTGGACAGACGGGGGTTAGTGAAAATTTGCTGTGCCAACAATATACAATATGAGCACCTGAGTTTTTCATCTCCAACACTAAATGGCTCTTAAGTTTAGGCTTTATTACACTGACTGTGTGCTTTATTTAGTCATCGCATTTTACATCTTGCATTTTAATCCCTGAGCCGAGGAAACACACTGTGTCCCTTTGCAAACACTGATCTAGCAGCAAGATTATTTTGACATTTTTTCAAGACGATTGTCAAAATAATTTTCTTCAATATTACTCAGACCTTTTTGGTAGAAAGCAAATTGTAAAAGTCATTTTAAAAAGGGAGACGTAAAGACGTTCATGTAAGAAAGAGCTGAATCTGTAAAAGATCTTTTGCATTGCATTTAGTTGGATTTGTGCTGATCTCCTTTTAGTTTTAGCCTTGAACAGTAATATTTCCATTATGTCATGCAAGTACATATTCACTCCTAGAGTATCACAGCGTCTCACCATGCATAAATGGCTGCACTTTGGTAATGGGCATGGCTGGACTGGGTGGAGGTTGGGGATCTGCGGGTTTAGTGCAATAGTCCCCTGACTGTGGCTCAATGACAAAGCTGCCCAGGGGGCTGATGTTCAGACTGGTGGGGGTCTCGACAGTAGGGAGGTCTTCTTCTGTCACCGAGACCACATCTATCGTGGAGGAGTCTGGTTGCTCCGGTGCGTCTTTCTTTGGTTCCTACGCGTAAGATTGAAAAAAAAGGGCAAATCAGATACAATACAACTCTAACAATGTTCAGTTTATTTGATAAACTATGTGACATTTACAGCCAACGCAAGACTTGCTAGAAAAATGTTTGTGTTATGTGTGACTGTCAAACTAAAACGTCTAAATACCCAAATTTGCTGTAAACCAGAACTAGCTTGGGCTAGCAGCAACATCTGGGCCTGATGATTAAATAGTTGAATTGTTTTCCTAATTGA